TTTTTTTTTTTTTTTTTTTTTTTTTTTAAATGAGATCTCTCATCTTTTCTTCTCTCGGGCATATCCAAATCACCAGCATCACTAGCATTGCACTTTGCAGTCACTGTTAAATAAAGTAAGAGTTACTCCAGTCTGTGGTTGGTTTGTTTTTCAGACAGTCTCACTTTGTAGCCCAGGCTGGCCTCAAACTCACGGGGATTCTCCTGCCTCAGCAGAGTGCTGGGATTACAGATGTGTGCCACAACACCTGGCTTTCCAGTCAATTTTGACAGTCATTTGGATAACCGAGACTACAAATGGCTACTGAGTGACTGATGGCCCAGCAGTGTATTCTTTGTGGGAAGGCTGGGCAAAGAGGGATGATTCTCTCCCAAGTGGGACAGTGAGAATTGCTCGGGCTGCTCAGAATGGTGCACGATTTAATTGGATATTATTTTTGCATCACAGTGAAAATTGAATTCAGAGCTTTTGAACTGACTGAGCCACATCCCCAGACTTGTTCTTTTTTTCATTTTGTATTTTGGGGCAGAATCTTGCTAAATTGCCTAGGCTGGGCTTGAATTTAGGATCCCTGTGCCTTACTCTCGTAGAGTGCTGGGATTATGGACATGCGCCACCATGCAGGGCTTGGAGTTTGCCATTTTCTGACTAGGTTCCCAAGAGTGGAAAGGTAGAGTGTGTAAGGAGGGGACTGGTGTAGCTGCATGAAACCTGGTGAGGAAGCCGGCTCAGGCCAAGCTTTCTCACATATGCGGTTAAGCAATCGTGGGGGAAGTTGAGCCTTTTACCTCTTGCCTTGAAAGAAGTCATACTGTACTATGGGGGCTGGGGATTTAGTTGGGGCTGGGGATTTAGCTCAGCGGCACAGCGCCTGCCTGGCAAGTGCGAGGTCGTGAGTTCAATTCCTGGTACCAGAAGAAAACAAAAAGGTATTTTATGGTTAACCATGTGTTGGATAGTAGTAAGAAGGATTGTATTTTCTACCTAATTTTCCCTTTCCTGGGAGAAAAAGTTGACACCAGCTTGTTTCTGTGCTCGTGTCAGACTTTCTCCTTTTAGTTTGGATTTCATTATTTTTTTCCCCCTAGAATTTATGCTGTGGATTTGTTTGGGAAATCAACAGTGTTTAGTCAAATAATTCCGTATCTCTTCATTGAGCCAAATAAATTAGAACCTAGAGCATACACAAACTATTGTAAGCATTCACCCTGAAAGCTTATTCTTGAAGGTGTTCCTGTGATATCTTAACGATTTCAAGGCTGGGTAGTGTGCTTAGTGTGTGTGTTGTTTAGGAAGAGTGTCTGGTTCTGAGGGGGAACGGACCTCGAGAAAGTGACCATGGTATCCATTTCTGCCAGTGTGTGTTCAGAGTGATATCGGAGCTATTTTGGGAGCTGATCTTGGAGGCCCTTCTGGTAGCTTTTTATAGCTTTAAACAGAGCTGCTGCAACTTTGTATAACCAGGGAGGGGCAGGTTGGGATACTTAGACCCTGGCTGTCTTTGTCCAGTCTCCCTTTTTATGGAAACGTGGGGTAAAACAAAAGGCAGATGGAAGTAAGAAGAGGCCAGAATTCAACAAATTTTGCCATCCAGTTTTCCTTCCCATTCCTGAGTTTCTTACTTTAACTAAAAGCTGTGTTTTTCCTGATTACCTGTTGGCTTACTTCCCAAGGTGGAAGACTTTATTGCCTCCTGTGCTTTAAGTCAGTAAATAAAATACTGTGGTCTGTAGTTTTCATACCTGAAAGCTTAGATGTGATAGTGTTGGGAACTCTGTAACTACACATGCCTATTTCAGTGTGGAAATGCATTACTAATATATGTTACACATACTGTTGTCAGCTTGTATATTACAGTGACATTTTTCTGAAATAAATACAAGTAGAAGTTAAGCTGTTTCTTCCACACCTGGATGGATCCTTTTGTTTCCCTACCGTGATATGCGTGTCCTGCTTTGAAAGTAACCCCTGCTTTAATGTTATTGAAGACGCAGTTCTTTGTTATTGTTGTAATACACGGATCAGATCCAGGGGTGCTCTGATACTGAACTGTGTTCCCAGCCCCACTTATTTTTTATTCTGAGACAGTCTTGCTGAGTTTTCCAAGTGGGACTTGAACTTGTGAGCATGAGCCTCCCAGAAGGCTGGGATTATAGGGTGTACCATTGTGCCTGGCTCAGAAATGAAATTCTAATAGCTTACTCTATACTTGTTTATTCATAATTCAACAGGTGTTTTTTGAACATCCATTATACTGCCAGGCATTGTTCCAAATGCTGAGGATATAACTGAATAAAAACAAAATTAAATTCCTGCTTTTATAGGGCTCTGTTCAGGGCAAAATCAGTGAGGTATGATCTGTCAATGTTGCTGTGGAGGTGAGGTGGGAGGGTGGGGCAGTGTGGAATGGAATGTGCAATTTCAGTGTCAGCTCCTTAACTGGAGAAAGTGGTTTTTGAGACAGGGTTTCACCGTGAAGTCCAGGTTGCTCTTGGACTCACTATGTATCCTGGGCTGGCCTCAAACTCTTGGTGACCCTCTTGCATTGTCTCCTGCACGCCTCCGCTTTGCCTGCATGCCTAGTCTAGAAAGCCTGTTTAAGTGACCTTAGGGACCAAGTGAACAAGCTATGTAGACACGTGGGGGGTGGGCTTCAGGTGGAATTATGCCTAGTAAATTGAAAAGCTACAAAGAAGCACAGGATATGGTGGTGCACGCCTGTAATCCCAGCACTCAGGAGGTTAAGGCAAGAGGATTGCTGTGAGTTCAAGGCCATCCTGAACCACATAGTGAGATCCTGTCTCAGGAAACAAACAAACCTGTAAGGAAGCAAACATGGCTGGAACAAAGGAGTTGGGAGGAGAATAGCTGAACATGAGTTAGGAAGAGTGAGACAGCCATGTAGAGACTCTTTTGGGAAGCCTGTTTTCAGGGCTTTAACCCTGGGCTTTGGGTGTGTCTACCTCTGAGCTGTGCCTCAGCAAGACTTTGAAGCAACCATAATTTGCTGTCAGGCGTGGTGACCTGTGCCCTTAATCCCAGTACTCTTGGGAGGCTGAGGCAGGAGGGTTGTCAGGATTTGGAGACCAGCCTGGGCTACTGAGGTCAAGACCAGCCTGAACTACATAGCGAGACCCTATCTCAGAAACGACAACAACAAAAACATAACACAGGAATGATGATGGGTTGATGTTTTGAAAACAGAAATTTTTGAAAACCCTATTTCAGGCCATAGTCAGGGAGCTATGCTGGCCCGAGGAGCTATATAAAGCAAAGCCATCACATGCCCTCGGCCTCTCCTGTATGTAGCCCTTTCCCTCTGTTCTTTTCTGTCAGTAAGACAGGCATGGGTTGGCTTCGCCTTATAGCCAGCATAGCCCGCTTCTGAGACCAGGTCCCAGTGACCCAGTCACCGTCCAGTAGACCTTGCCTGGCAAAAGTTTCCACTGCCACAGCATGCCAAGACTGAGGACCAAGCCTGGACATGGGGGCGGGGGTGAGGGACCATGTCCAAACTGTAGCAGATGCTTCTTACATCTTTGAGAAGATGTCAAGCAGCAGGTGTGGACAGAAGGGTCAAATTAGGGTAGAGGTTGGGCTGCATTTGAATTACAGGACGCCTCAGCGTGGAGCCGAGTGTAGGTAGTGTTTAAATTCATCGTACTAGGTGAGATCACTACAGCAGTGCGTAGACTGAGAAGCAACCTAGGACAGATCCAGCGAGGCACAGAGGAACCAGCAGGGAGACTAAAGGAGGTTGCCAGGCTGACAGCCAGGATAGGAAGCTAGCTGGCACATTGTAAAGAGGAAGGCAAAGCAGCTGGGTAAGATGTTACCTTCAAGACAAATAAAAATGAAGCACTAGTAGTTGTGTTTAACTGCACTGTTGGAGGTAACTGCTGGTGACGTTGATAAGCAGGTTAGTGGGTACAGTCTGACTTGAGAGTGTGTTCAAGATAGGGTGCCAGGCAGTATGGCATGTTTCTGCAATTCCCCAACTACTCTGGAGGCTGAGGCAGGAGCTTTGCAAATTCAAGTCCAGCCTGGGCATCTTAGCAAGATGCTGTCTGTAAAGGTATGGAGATGTAGTTCCATGGTAGAGCACTTGACTAGCATAGGCAAGACCCTTTGTTCAATCCCCAGTATTGTATTACTCCTCCCCAAGGCAGGGAAGGGGAGAAATGGGAGGCAAGTAGTTTCGCATGGCTTCCAAAGACAAGCAAAGCAGCTGATCAGTAGCTGGGGTGAAAAGAATTTTTTCATGAAATAGAATTTTTTTTGAAGAAAAAGTATTAACCACAAGTGGGTGTGAGGATGGAGATTTCAATAAAGGATCGAGGATGATGAGCTTTTAGACAAGGAAGGTGATGGAAAATGAAACTATGGTGTGATTATTGGAGGACATTAAGCATGAATATCTATTTCTTTAGCCCTGCTTAGGTGCCTAGACTTGTTCTCATTTCCTTCCTCCATTTCGTTAGAAATTCTCTACCAAATACGGATGGGAAGTATCGGGGAAAATGGTTTTTGTAGTGAACATTCATAGATTTTTCTTGTCATTATTTCCAAAACAATACAGTGTAAGCACTATTTACGCAGACTTAGGAATTAAAGTAATTAGGAATTATAAGTAATTTAGAGGAGATTTAAAGTACTGTGGAAGTTACATGTAAAATCTGTAAATACCTTGCCATTTTATAAAAGGGACTTGATGAACACATACCATCCTATAGGGGGAGCGAGTGTGTGCTCCTGTATACTCAAAAGTCTCTCAAATACCAAGGAATGCTGTATATTTTTCAGGAGATTTCAGTGGCTTTAGAAACTAATTTTGCCTTGTAAACAAAACAGCTTGGTGATTTTTTTTTTTTTTAATCTTTTTGAGACAGGGTCTCTCTATGCAGTTCATGCTGGCCTTGAGCTCACTTTATAGCACAGGCTGGTCTTGAACTCGCACCAATCTTCTTGCCTGAGCCTCCTGAGTGCTGGGATTACAGGTGCGAGCCACCACACTCAGCGTAACAGCTTGATTTTGATAGAACAAGTTCCCTTAGCTGTATAGTAATCTCAGTATTATTTTCTTCTTTTTTTTACTTTTGAATTTGTTGAATTTTTTTTTTTTTTTGAGACATAGTCTTTCTATGTAGCCCAGTCAGACCTTGAAATTTGGGAATCTTCCTGGTTTAGCCTTCCACATTCTGGGATTATAGGTGTGTATGTACTGCACCCAGCTCTTTTGAATTTTTCTCTTCTCTCTCTTTTCTCTCTTGTCTTGTCTTGTCTTGTCTTGTCTTGTCTTGTCTTCTCTCTTCCCCTTTTCTTTTTTCTTTTCTTCCTTTTTCCTTTTCCTTTCCTTTCCTTTCTTTCTGAGACAGGGTCTTCCTTTGTAATTCAAGCAGGCCTTGAGTTCACTGGGTAGTGCAGGCTGGCCCCAAACTGGAAGTGACCATCCTACCTCAGCCTTCCAAGTGCTAGGATTACAAGTGTGTGCCACCATGCCCAGCTCCCCTGACTTTACTATGAATGTATTTTGGTAAGCCATCAATATTTTGCAGTTGCATCAACTAATTGTAGTTACTTAAAAGGTCTTTGGATTTTATAAATAGAAACTTGTCTGGAGATTGGAGAGGTTCTTTTCTAATTCTAAGAGAATGAACTTTAATTTTGGTGTCTAGTGTAGTGGCATTTGTTTCACAGCTGTTCTGTTTTTGGGTTGCAGGAAACCCAGCGTTTGCTGGCAGAGCCGGTTCCTGGGATTAAAGCAGAACCAGACGAGAGCAACGCCCGTTATTTTCACGTGGTCATTGCTGGCCCCCAGGATTCCCCCTTTGAAGGAGGGACTTTTAAACTTGAACTATTTCTGCCAGAAGAATACCCAATGGCAGCACCTAAAGTACGTTTCATGACCAAAATTTATCATCCTAATGTAGACAAGTTGGGAAGAATATGTTTAGATATTTTGAAAGGTAAGTGTTACCTTGTCATCATTTGCTAGTATTATTTTTCCTTTCTCTCTTGAGCATCCCATCTTAGAATGTAGACTTTGTAATCTTACCTTATACTAAGACTAGGTCTGGGGGTAGGGGAGGCAACAATTCCGGGCCTGTTTCCCTGCTTTATCCTGTCATTTACCGGGCCTGTTGCCTTTATAGATAAATGGTCGCCAGCACTGCAGATCCGCACAGTTCTGCTATCGATCCAGGCTTTGTTAAGTGCTCCTAATCCAGATGACCCATTAGCAAATGATGTAGCGGAGCAGTGGAAGACCAACGAAGCCCAAGCCATAGAAACAGGTATTTAATATTCTCCTTTACACTTCCACTTTGAAAACACATTGTAGCACCCTTAAAATCTTAAAGCTTTTGGCAAGCGAGAGGAAAATAATTATATTTAATCGGATGCTGGTTTTGGTATGCAAATATAGTCATACCTCAACTGAGGAACACCTTTGTTTGCAAACAGTTCCTTTCACAAACTGCATCAGGTGACAAACATCACCATGGCCATCCCTTCCACACAGACACAAACGTGGCCATCTTTTTCAGAATCAGAACAAATTATGTTCCTGAGCTCCTGTTCCTGTACCTCTTAAAAGATGCTCACACCCCACCTTATACCCTGCTTGTGCTCCCACATTAAACAACCTGTAATTAGGAAATCTGAGACTCTGGATTTAACTGCATTGGAGTTAACAAGTAAGGAATGTCTGTCATTCATCCAGCAGTATGTGGACACTGGAAAACTTTTGAACTATTTTTAAACTGTTCAAAAGATGAAACCATACAGCAGTGTGTAGCCAAAGAATATAGAATCTGTGAGCTTCATCTTGTTACCCTTAAAAGAAAATGAGTGGGGAGCATTGTATATCTAGAAATGAATTCTCATCCTGTTGAATTTTGTAGATCTTTTGAGTTTCATTACAGTGTTCTGGTAATTCAGCATCAAGAAAGTCTTTCAGCCCTTGATGGTTTATAGGAGATGACAGGAATTTAAGAGATTGCAGCATGACATAATCATATTTGTTTACTGTTTATAGACTGAGGAGTAACCTTTTGAGCTCAGTAAAATAATAATTGCATGTTTCTTTTTGTTTACAGCTAGAGCATGGACTAGGCTATATGCCATGAATAATATTTAAGGCGGCCCGATCATCAAGTTTGTGTCACTTCTCCTGTTCTGCCAAGACTTCTTCCTTTTTTGTTTGCATTTAACGGACACAGTCTTAGAAACATTACAGAATAAAAGCCCAGACATTTTCAGTCCTCTGGTGATTAAATGCACATTAGCAAATCTATGTCTTGTCCTGATTCACTGTTGTAAAGCATGAGCAGAGGCTAGAAGTTTCATCTGGATTGTTGTGAAGCGTTTAAAAGCAGTAGCCTTCTGCTTTTATTCATTTCCCCCATCATGGTTTAAGTATAAAGCACTGTGAACGAAGGTAGTTGTCGGGGTTAGCTGCAGGGGTATGGGTGTTCTTTATTTTATTTTATTTTATTTTATTTTATTTTTTGAGGGGAAAGGTAGTTTCAAAATTTTATGGGCTCCCCCCTTTTATGGTGATCTAATTGCATTGGTTAAAAAGCAGCTAACCAGTACTTTTAAGATATGCTCTCTAGCCAAGTCTAACTTTAGATGCTGTAGACGGACAAGCTGATTGTTTGAACCAAAATGGGAACATTAACAAACATCACAGCCCTCACTAATAACATTGTGATTTTGCAGTCAAGTGTAGAGTACCCCTTCAAAAAAAGCTTGTGACCATTTTGTATGGCTTGTCTGGAAACTTCTGTAAATCTTATGTTTTAGTAAAATATTTTTTGTTATTCTACTTTGCCTTTGTACAGTTTATTTTACTGTGTTTATTTCATTTTCCCAATGTGACAATCGTATTTAAAAATTAAAATCGATGGAACATTCTGCTTTGGTCTTCACCATCTGACAAATAGAATGGCAAGAGATGGATTTGCCAATTTCTTTCCACTGATGCAAATTTGTGTTATCACTGAATGGAGTATTTATAAACAGGAGCTGAGCATGCATAAAGCGTCAGTGTCTGACCCTTTCTCGCCCCCTAGAAATTCGAATAAATGTTCTGTGTTATCTGGTCAGGTGCTCGTTGGTGTCTTGCCGTAGTGTTGGAAAAGCACTGCACAGGAGTGTGGCAGCAAAGAACGCAGCTGTGACTGACAACTCAGACTTCCACATTGTGCCACCTTTTTTTCCCCTCAAATGTGGGTTATGACCTTTTTCTTGGTTCTTGTCTGAAAACTTCATGTGTTACCATTGGCGTGTGATTAGGAAACACCAGTGTGATAATCATTTGGGGTTTGCAGAGATATTTGTCAAGTTTCCCTCATGGAACTAAGAGGAAATCTCAAGCAAGCAGCTTGCATAAGCATCAGAAAGATTTCTTCCTTGAAGCGCACCAGATTTTCAGTTAATGAGTCTTGCATCCATCCTAATATGCTGTGTGAGCTTTTATTCTTTAATTTGGTTTCAGTAAATTTTTCATTAATAAGAGTCTTCCCTCACAAAACTGTTCTTTCCCACGTCTCTCCACATCTGATTTCCAGTTTTTGTTACTAAGTCTTACGTAGCCAGTCATAAATGTGTAAATGTTAACCTTTGGGTTGGGATCATTGTCTCTTGCGGTTTAAGGTAATGGATATTGTAGCCCATCTGCGTTTTCCTCACTCGTATTCTCATGACCTCTGGCATTTCTTAAGAATGTGGTGTATTTTATTGTGCTCCTATGTAAGATGAAGAATTATCTATTAAAATTACATTTTCAACATACAAAAGTTTCTGGTGACTGGTAACTGGTATCTTTTCACATAATTGTATTGCTTAGTAACAAATGTTAAATTCAGAATAAAATTGTTGATAACCCTAATGCCAAATACAGCAGTTGTCAGCAATTCTTGAGCACAGGGCACCATTGACTACAGCTAAGGAAACAATCTCATTCTAAAAAGTGAACACAGGACTTCAAGTAATTACAGAGAGATCAGAAATCAACATTATGTCCTGCTCTTCATGTATAGCTAATACCACATAGTGACTTTCAGAGCTCCAGATTTGTATGTATTCCACTGTAAAGTCTACCCAAAGTAGGATTCTGATATCTTGGGCTTGAAAGTTATAGAAGTGTAGAAATAAAGAGTAAGTCATTGTGTTCTCGTGGGAATTCCATTTTTATGGCATCGCCTTTTCCCTTGTGTAGCTTTGATAAAAGTCCCCATTGTTGCGATAAGACTTGCTTTCTCAACAGGTGGGGTGAAGCAAGAGCCCTGTGTGGTGGAGCTTTCTTAGTTAGGCCTGGTGAGGATCTGGGAGAGGCCAAAGCAGATGCTGAAAACTGACAGCTACATCCGGCCTGCTTTCCTTGGCCTACACTGAGTAGTTGCTTAAGCATTCTGAATGTGATGCCAACATTTTTTCACTTCAGTGAAGAGCCTTGAAAAGCCAGAAAGTGTGTCTCTTGAATGACCTGAAGATCTGGCACAGTGGAACTAACCCACCATTCTGCCTGCTTCTCCTGGGAAGAGCCAAGTAATAGCCGTTGTCCTCTCCCCTAGTTCCTCTCCGGTGACCAGAGTCCCTTCCAGCTTGCTGGCTCCTTTGTGTAGCCTTCATGTCCCAAACTGAAGGGAACAGTTCATTAGATAAAAATACAGTGATGCCTCGGTCATTGAACTCACTTTGTTCCAAAATCGTGTTGGAGCACTGAAAAGTTTGACACTTGAACATATTTTTCCTATAAGAAATAATGGAAAACCAAATTGGTTCTGAGACCCAAAACTTCCCCTTACAAATTCATTTTTTCCAGGATTTAAAATTTTTCGCAGTGACTCCTTAACCTCTGTGATGGCTCTCAGTTTTGCTCTTAGCTTTCCTGCTGGTATCACAAACTTTCTTTGGAGCCATGGTTATAATATTTAATGCAAATAAAGCGCAAAATAAAAGCACAGTGACAGATGTTTTGAGGCACTAACAAGCACTGGACGCCGTCGGGGCGAGAGTGGCGAGTGACTCACGCTTGGCCCATACAGGCGTTTTCGAGTTGGAGTTTTGGTGTGACTGTTGAGCAAAGTTAACAACCAAGCAGATTAGTTTTGAATTTCAGTTTGAGTGTGGAAAGTTCGGGCTTGGAGCTGTTCAGCACCTGAGGTGTCGCTGTAGTTGATACATGTGTACTGCTAGTGGAGAGTGACAAGTCAGGGAGCGGTAGGGGGCTTTCCTTTGAGGACTAAGGAGGGAGGGGACACAGCAGTCGCAGCTCTGTCCTGGTGGGAGGCTATTCTTGGGAACCCACACGAGCACATCCGGGCACTGAGAGGAGCCTGCGGAGAGCCCTGGGTGAGAAGAGAACTGAGCCTATTGATTGATCAGTCAGTTGCCTCTTGAAAATGCACTGCCCATTTGAGGTTTATCTAAAATCTAAAGTGTCGATTTGAGTGTTGTCTTACTTTCTGTGAGTTGTTTCCGCTCTGACCGAGCCAGTTATCCTTGGGCCTCTCAGAATCCACCTAGTACGACTTTAGACCCAGTGTACATAAGCCTAAACCTTACGCTAGACCAGCAGTGTACTTGTAAATTTCAGAAGAAATGTTTCAGGCGTAAATATGTATCAGTATGTAAGAGCCACAGGTGCTGTGGTTTAGCACATTTTTTTTTCTTTTTTTAAGGAGGAAAGGAATTGGTGTCTTACCCACTATAAGTACATTTAGTGAAGCAGAACTACACGGTGTTATGGGAACACTAGGAATTGGTGATATTCTTCCATTCGATGGTTTAAGAATGTTTCCTGGCTATTCTAGCCACTTCCAGTTTTGTTAGTTACTATAATACCAAAAAGCATTAGAGATACTTCACCTAGAAAAGCTGTCCAAAAATAAACAATGAAAAAATAATAAGCACGCAATACAGCAGTCCAAGAACAATGTAATATTTGATTGGATAATGTGTTTTGGGGGCTGGGAACATTTAATTTAGCTATTTAGCATGCTGCCTAGCTTTCGGAGTTCTATCAGGGTTTATATTTAAATGACAACAAAGGAAAACATGTTGAATGTAATTATTTGAAAATATAAATAAAAATCTGTAATATACCAATTAGACTGGTGATCTTTGTTTCCTTAACTGGACACTCCTGCATTACTTTTCATTTTATCTTGGAAGCTAGGAAGTACTTTTTACAAGTTGGCTTTTGCTATATAGCTTTATGGTAATTGAGCAAACTGCCACTGGCTGCCAATTTGGGAGCTGGTCTGAAATTTCTTCCCAGTATGAAGAGTTTCAGTTTCTTCCCCTCTTTACAATTTCATCTTTGCTACCTTTGTGCTGACCTCATTTTAAATTTTTTTTGGTACTGGGAATCGAACTCAGGACCTTACACTTGCCAGGCAGGCGCTGTCCTACTGAGCTGTATCCCCGGTCCCCTGACCTCAGTATCTGTGTGCATATTGGTGCAGCGTCTTACATGGTGTATGTATAGACTTGATGCCATGCTGAGCTGCTACTGAATTGGCCATGTAATTGCTTCTGTTCGTGATGAGTTGTAGAAGCAGTAGTAACCTTATTGTCTTGTAATAGCATCAGTTGAAATCTGATTGTTTTTATGTCATGGTGTTGCTCCTTAGGGAACAATGATGCTTTTCCTCTGCCAGCCATTCATACATGGAACCAAGAAAAGTTGTTACAGAGGTTAGAGAACAGTAACTTCATGTGCCTCCCCTCAATCTAGAATTACCATTCCCATATTCCATACGCTCATCCATCCTGACCTACCACAGGACTGCTTTGGAAACACCATCTAGCGTGCTCTCAGTAGGCATTAAATTTCATTAAAACCTTGTAACGTGATCAAGTCTTACAGTTTAAATTCAAGAGCAAGCTACTCAAGACCTGGACCTGGCAAAAGAGCAGGCCGGTTGTACCAGTTTTTTTCTTCCCTGTTTGTTAATGCTGAGGGTCAAACCTGGGTCTCCTTGTGCTTCATGCACTGAGTGGGTTTTACCGAGCCCGAGCCATACCAGATTGAACTCGATGCCGTTTTCCTTAACTTTTGGCAGGAAGCAGCAGGACTGAGTGACTACCTAAGACTAGAGTCCAATTTTCACAGTCTGCATTTTCTTCCCTTAGTGAAACAGTATTTTGTTCAGTGAGCCACAGTTCTGCCATTGTAGTAAGCAGCAGCCAGCCACTATTGGGAGCCTCTGCTCCCAATAAAATTTTTACTAATTTTTTTTCCCCAGCTACCAAAGAGGTGAAACTTTCTCCACCTATGGGTATGAAAATAGGCAGTAGGCTGGGTTAGACTGTAGTTCCCACCCTCTGCATTATCACGCTTGGCTTTAGAACCAAGTATGCCTCCCTACTCGGGCGCAGTAATCGGGCATTCCTTAGGTAAGGATTAAAGGTCTATGGTAGTTTTTTTCCTCCTCGTTAATATTAACATTCTGAGATAATACAGTTAAAGCACAGGCTGAGAGGCCGACAGTTTTGCGTGGAAGACTATTAGACACTTCTCAAAAAATTTAAAGAACTATACAGGCTTTTACAGAAAATGTGATCATATATTTAAAAAAGCCGTTAGCTGGGCATGGTGGTTCATGCCTGTAATCCCAGACTCGGGAGGTGAGACAGGATTGCTGAGTTCAAGACCAGCCTGAACTACTTAAACCCTATCTCAGAAAAAAAATTTTCTTTCAAGTGTTTTTTGTTTGTTTTTTTTCAGTGTAGACAAGTTGTACACAAAATAGCTGGCTATAGCTTTTTGGGCACCATTCCCCGAAGAACCCTCTGCAAGGCTGCACTTCTTTGGAAATTGCATTACCATCTGCCATCCTTTAACCCTGCTTATACATTACATTGATAATCACTTCATAAATTCTGCAACATCTGCGTTTTGTCCTTTTGTTGACTAGATTACCAGAGCTGGAAATGTTGGTTGAAAGGGTTAAGTGTTCGCACCAGTGACTCACCAGTGATACACGCACAACTGTCCCTTCAAGCAGCACTAGTTCCAGCAGTGGTGCAGAGCTGCCCAGCAGACACATTACAGCCCTGTTGTGGACGTGTTAAATGTTGACAGTTACTGCTCAGCTCTCCTGAAGGCTCTTCTAAGTTTTCCTACCCGAATTCTTAATGGAATGTCATTTTTTCTTATTGGATGTCTGTAATTTTCCATTACATGGATATATTGCAAATTAATCATTACTTCTTTGCTGCTGGGCATTTTATTCCTGTGGCTTACCATTCTAGTGCCTTAATTTGGTACATGAGCTTGTCTACATTCCTATAGAAGTTGAAGTCTTCACATAGTAAAAGGTGTTTAAGGATGATAAAATATATGTTGACGGCCAAATGTAGCTAAAGTGTTGCATTAATTGTACAAAGGAATGTTGGAGCAAAAATAGAAAACCATTAAGATGTACCCTACATGCTGTTTGACAAGCAGCTGGAAATGGGATACACAAAGGGTGGCATTTCATTTATCTGAAGATGTTAAATGCAAAAGAGGAACTTTTAGGACATTTTGTTAAGATATCAAAAGTACAGGAATTAGCGGGGCGTGGTGGTGCACACCTGTAATCCCCGCACACAGGAGGCTGAGGCAGGAGGATCTTGCAAGTTCAAGACCAGCTTGGGCTACAAAGTGAGCTCAAGGCCAGCCTGAACTGCACAGCAAGACCATGTCTCAAAAAGACAAAAAAAAAAAAAAAAATGTTGGTAAGCACTTGAAGGGTGACCTTAGTGTTTTATTAGTAATGTGTGCAGTACAAAGTGCTTACATTCCTTGTGGGGAATTGTTACAATCTCAGTCCAACCGTTACACATCTCATTTCCTTTTTTCATCCCTGTTCTGCCTCGCTCCTTCCATCTCTGATTCTGTTTTTAAAGATAAGCCTACGTAAAACCTCAAGACATTTTAAGAACTTCTCAGCTCAACATCATCAGTCACTTATCTCTGTTCTACTGATGTGTGTGCTCAAGGGTGGAAACTTGCTCTGTGCTGCTTTACCAGTGCTGTGTGAAAGTATATGTTCCATATCCTTCCATATCTTACAGCTACTGTAAACACTGTAGAAACAATCTTAGAAACAACTACATAGTTGACACTACCTAAAACCAGTTTGCTAAAAATTATACTTTGAAACACAAAAACACAGTTTAAGTGATTAACTGGACAGGACTGGCATGTGGAAAATATGGCAAACAACATCATCCTTCTCCAAATTAACAATGCTTAAACTTTAACCCTAACTGCATGAGGGGCAAATGGGATTTTTACATGATTTGGAACCTGGTGACAGCACCCAAAGCTTTAAACCCCATAATCGTGCGCTAGTATGGACGCTAACTGAAATGTACAAGTGTGTGGCTCGTAAGAGATGTGTATCAGCCCCTGGTGGGAGGACAGTATAGGTTCATGGTGGAGGAGGCAATGCATTCAAAGTCAAAATGATATACCTTGCTGTAAACTTAAGTCTGTCTAAGAAAGAAAACCACGAAGATCATATTTCCATTTTTATTTGTTTCCAAATATAAAAAAGTCAAGATCCTTACACCAATTATCTCAGATGAGACCATGCAAAGCAATTCACTGTGTACAACAACCATTTTTCTACTTTATACAATGGTGTGACTGACAGAAAACTGGATGTCCTGTGCTTGGTTGGAAAATGTCATCTCTGTACAAAAACATGCAGGGAAGTTCCTACTTTGTCTGCAGGTCAATTTACAGTAACTGCTTTTTTTGTTCGTATAGGGGGCACATGGAACTGAAATTTAGCCGCCTGATTTTATCAGCTACCCCACAAATAAGCACAAAGGACAATATAAACACAGTAAACTTTGGAGGTGAGATAGTAGACATTATTTACCCTTAGTAGATTCAACTATTGAGGCCTGAAAGTACTGGTTTTCTCTCTGAACTTCCTTAGGACTTTCCCTCTGATTTTGCTAGGCTGGGTTCCAGAAGAACCCCTCATGGAATTTATGTGTGGAAACTATATTCTGCTGCATACAAATTTCTGCTAATTGCATAGCCTAACAACAGTTGGGTTTGCTAAATAAATGGCACTAAAGAAAATCCTGACCAAAGTGGCACTACTTAGTCCAAATGATTCTGACCAAAGAAAATTATACAATATTTATAGTCTAACGTAAGAGTGGCCAACAAACTGTACATTTTTACATGTCAAATACATAGTCCAAGAGTTTATAAAATAAGCCATGCATTATTACCTAAGAATACCATGTACAAGAGAAATCTCCCTAAGTTCTTGTGACAGCATTTCAGGTGGAAGCAGCCTTATATATACAAAAACAATCCAGTTTCTCTGTTAAGTATATAATTTAAAGAAATTTCAGAGATTATTGAGAAAATCTTAAGTCTATTGGTGATTGATAGAAAATGTTGATTTGTGGGATTTAAAATGTTTTCTTTTAAAAAAAACACCCAGAATACATAACCTCTGTACAAAGAAAAATACAAAAATTCTGGATGATCATGTCTGATCACACTACATAATTTAGAATGGAACGTCACTGGCTGAAAAGTTCTCTACTCATTCCTTTGACAGCGTTAACTTGTGAACTAGCATTTATATTTAATTCAGCTGCCTTTATGACACAAGATCTCATTTTCAAAATGGCACCGATTTTCCTTAAGCGTAAGGACTCTATTTTTAGCAGCAATTTTCTCTACAGGTTAACAATTTATAGAGCAAATGTTTTAACTTCTACTTCGTACTCACCAGCTAGAATATTTACAAAAGACTAATGTCTACATAAAAAATTCTTTCACTCTCCCAGCCCCACATCCTGAAGATTTTTCCTCCTCCCTCATCTCTGACCTCAGTGGGGACGCGTGGGAGGTGCAGCAGGGTATGTACGTACACACTTTAGATGGGACGCCCGATTCTGAGTAAGGAGACAAATCCAAGACAAGATCATTCTTACTATGTTCCAGTGCCCCAAAGGCCCTGTGACAAAGTACTGACAACCTAGAAAAGATGAGACATTCAAAGGTGCCCCAATACCGTAAGCCTGTACCAGCTGAACGGCAGGAAGGCCACTGGCCTCCACTGGGACGCAGCCATCACTGGCACTGAAGGTCAGATGCCAATCCCGTGGTTTTTGGTAAACAAGAAGTTTAACTGGAGAGGTGTCACTAAATTAAACTGAAACTTTTAAGAGCAGTTCACACTGAGGGAAATACAGTTCTAAGGTACTCTATGTAAGGAGAGAGTATAGATAAAAGAATTGGCAACTGAGCATGCTAAATAAATTCCATGAAATACAAGTTTCATGACAATGTACGACATGCATTTTGCTAACAATATTTCCCTAAAAATTAACTCTCTAGAGTTGTATTGTGTTTTTTAACTACTACTGACTTTTAGGGGAAATAACCGTTATCTGGTTGATGGTGACAAAGTATGTGAGAAGTCAGACAAATGAGCTGACCGACTGCCAAAAGAGCAAATTAAAAGTTCTTTGTCAAAACTGGATCGTAATGAAGTATCCTGAATGAATCTGAAATTTATGAATGATGGATTTTAATTAAATTAAATTAATTAATTAATTGGGTGCTGGGAATCAAACCCAGGACCTTGCGCAGGCAGGTGCGGTGCCACTGAGCTATATCCCCAGTCCTGGATGGATTGTAACATCGAAGATATTTTAATGAATTCCAACCACAGATTTGTTGGGTAAGTTAATGCTGCAAATGATAAGACAATTTAGGGGGAATAATACGCATTGAGTAATATGATCTCTGACAAAATAAGCAACACTGCTTATATGGACAAGAAAAACTGAAAATGCTGTTAAAAAATGACAACCAATAGAACACTGGGAGAGCAGGGCACAGTTAAGGCATCTAAAAAAAATTCCTCATGGCTTTGGCTTATTAAAATATTTTACACTATTTTTTTTTTTTTTAAAGATTTGAAAGCATCTGAAAAACATGCAAATTGTTTGAAATCCCTGCGTGGCAAATTCAGACAGTTTGCGAGCATCATTCAGATGTTTGCCAAGGACAGTGCGGAAGCCTCTCCCTGAGGCGGAGACGGCGCTCTGGGGAGGTCCGGGCCTCTGCCTATCTCACACTGGATGGCAGCCCCGGGCTCTGTGCGGTGGTCACAAACAAGGCGTTGTTATCTGGGAGGGAGGGGACTGTGGAGTTTCCGTTGGTTGGGGAACAGCCCACCTTTAATTTTTCCAGATACTCTGCATGTACGGGCTTGTGACACTGGAGAACTTTGATTGCATCTTCTACTTTGAACCACTCTCTCTTCCTTCCTAGAGAATGGCAGGACATGGGTTACTATTAATGTCAATTTAAAAAAGTAAACAAGACCTACTCACACTCTCCCCAGTGTATCGTCTGTGTTCTCTTAGAAATGAACTAAACAACATGCTGGGAAGAATTTTAAGATGTATCTTCCCTACTCTAAAACAACTAACCAAAAACTCAATAGACACTGGATACAATAGTGACTGAAAAAGAGAATTCATATAGCAAAAAGAACCTACCTATGTTAACAGAATCTTCCCAATCTTCTAATATTTCAGTGACTGTAAGAACATAAACATATGTTCTGTGCTTCCGGTCTTGGTTCTGCTTGAATATAAAAAGAAAAGCATTTTAATTTACAGGTGCTAGCTGTCGATGTATTTTCAGGGGGATCTGCTTGGCACGCTGCTGATTAGCATGCGCCGCTTCCCGACACGGCCAAGAACACAAAGTCAGAGTGCGGTACTGAAGAGTTTGTACAGACAGACAAAACGTGCACGACAGGTGCTGCAACCTCATCACGACAGATGTAATGAACTTCTAAAATTGTGATGGATCCAATTTGTGTAAAGAAAACCTTAAAATGTGAATGGAATCTGTAGTAAAAGAACTGCATTCCTGTAATTTTTTCCCCAGGCTCTACTCCCGGGCCTCTTCCTGACCACCTTTCAACGCTGTGACGAGCTGCTTCTGTTGGGGCCTGTGTAGACCAGCCACGCCCAGTCCTGTGAGAGCACCTGGGGGCTACAGGGTGCACATCAGGCACAGGCCGATTATGCTAGGCCGGGGCCTCCAGCTTGACTGCTGCTACATCACTCAGAATGAATGACTTTTTCCTTTCTCTCACTAGTTCAGTTAGTTAGGGATGATACCGAAAGTGCTAATATTCTGTTTTAAAATGAAATATGCATAGCTGGGCCTGACAATACTGTAACAGGGCTAATGTTTGCTTTTTGTTTTGAAATGGCCTCGCCGTGTAGTTTAGGCTGGACTCAAACTCAACCAGGATCCTCCTGCCTCAGCTTCCCAACTGCTGGCATTACCGGTGTGTGCTACCACACCCAGTAAAACCTAAACTGGTTTTCACATGGAGGCTTTTATCCTGATTAAATTTAGTTATCTGCTGTCCTAGGCTTGAAATAACTGCCTTGTTTTTTTTCTAAATAACTTGAGCAACCTACTCAAACACTTACGGTTTTGGAAAGGAATAAATGAGAACAGTAATAAAACAGGCACCTGTCACAAAAAACATTTTATCATTTTCAAGAATCATTTTTTACTTTTAATGTTTATTAAATCAATTTTTATTGTAGTGCGTTCACAAGTTCATTACAATCACTGGAGTAACGGAGCAAGGCGATTCTAATTATCACTTCAATCTTCTAAGTGGATAGGTATATTGATTGATATTTTCTACTAAATAGTGTTTTTGAGCCAGATGTGGTAGTGCATGGCTATCATAGCACTTGGAGGCTGAGGCAGGAGGATTGCTGTGAACTGGAGGCCAATCTAACCTACAAGGTGAGTTTAAAGCCAGGCTGAACTATATAAGGACACCCTTTCTCAACCCTCTCCTCCAAAAAAATAGTACTTGTAAAACAATAGTTACCTTCCAATATTATAAGCCATACACTGTTTTCTTCAAAGACCTTATTACCACAGTGACAGATACGTCACTTGTATCATAGTATTTGAATCAAAGAAATCTCAGTGTGTTTTCAGTTTAACCAGAAGATGGTGCTATAAAACTGGGTAAAATAAGTGCTGGATCTTGGAAAAGTGTGAATAATACCAAGAACTTTACTATTATAACTACTGTATTCCAGTTAGTCATTAATTCTACAAAGTGCTGTAAAACTGGGATTTTTTTCTGCATTCTTAAAAGCTTAAAAATAAAATTTGTATGCTCCAAGAGGACTGAGCGAACTTAACTATCATCTTGCAAAAAGTAAATAAAGCACCCATGTTCTGGCATATTCTACATCCAGGTCTGAAATACATTTGAGAATTCCTAAGTGTTGGAACCTGACCACTTGTCTGTCTTCCATGGAGCACCTAACATTTCAAATTCCCTTCAGAAAATTCCATTTTGCTCTCAGTAATAAACATTATTTGTGAGAGTTTTTTTTTTTTGGTTTGCTTCTCACAGGGTCTGGCTACGTAGTCCAGGCTGGCCTCACCTGGCTGAAGCTGACTTTCATGTCTCCCGACAGTCTTTTAGGAGTCATTATGTTGTCTAATGTTATGTGCTGAAGGCAATGGGGGCGCTGGCCAGAGAATCCACACACAGCCCAGTCCTCAGGTGGCTCTGAAGATGCTGTACGCAGGGTGCCCCGGACCAAGGTGAGCTTTCTGCTGCCCCACTGCATGTCCAGTCACCGCCACAGTCACGCACGACACCGATGGCGGATGCGAAGCTTCCATGCTCTTACTTACCTTTCTTGATCCTGTGACCAACCTGCCTACCTGCAGTTTTGTTATTTTGCTTTTATTTTAGAAAAATTATTAATTCTATTAGCCAAACATGGAGGATTCATTTTGTAACTCACCTCAAATATTCCCAGGAGCCTGCCCAATTTTCCTCTGACTCCTGCCTATTAAAGATAAAATGCAAAATATTAACTTTTCATGATAATGACACTTTTACAAATTACAGTCTGGCTCTTTCAGGTTTTTTTTGTTTTTTTTTTTGTCTGTTTTGAGACAGGGTCTCGCTATGCAGTTCAGGTTGGCCTTGAGCTCCTTTTGTAGCCCAGGTTGGTCTGGAACTCACAGCAACTCCTCTGCCTCAGCCTCCCGAGTGCTGGGATTATAGACGTGTGCCACCACACCGGGCTCTTTCAGTTTTTTAACCTAAACACAACAGACCTTCCCATACCAGGTCACTGTCTTCCAGCTTTTGTGAAGACTGCTGGCTGTGGTTTGCTATAATGGCTTAAGTGGCAAGATCTAACAAAAAATTAGACTACCAATTTGGGTCAAAGGTCAGGAATGAAATGCTTTCTGCCTTCTTAACTGAAGGCCTTTCTCCTGTGCCTGTGGTACAGATGTACAGTTCCTTCTGCAGACTGCTCAGGTTCCCCATGCTACCGCCCCCCACCCTGTCTGCATCCAACAACTCCTCACCGCCTCTACCTGAGGTGTGCTTCCTGAAGCCTCTCAGCTTCCTCCTACCCTTCCCTCCTGTGCAGCACAGCCCGTAAGACCGCAGCACTGATTCCCACAGGGACCCGCGCTACTGCTCATTTGTATTCTGTTTTGCTGTGAGTGAAAGGGAACCCGGCTGTCAAGTGAAAGAAGACAAGCAGATCAGGCCGTGTGTGCTTCTGTGCATGCGGGTATGCCACATGTACTGAGCTTAGGGAAAAGAGAAGCAACTGCTCTTTTACGAGAGAACTACAGCACATGATCGATGTCTGTGCAGTCCTGTTCACAGCAAGCCATCAAGTTATACACTGATCACTCCTCAGACAAAAATGTGACTAACAGGAAGTTAGGTGCTAATACAATTTGGGGGGATTTCCACATTGATTTTAGCACTGTGTATTTTACCAGGTTGAAAAAATACGTGTTTAGGGAAGTGCTATCTAAAGTCACATGATTAAAATGTTCAGTCAAACCACAAAAAAACCACTGCTGTGACCCCAGACCCCGTATTACTTAGCAAAGCCTCTCACCTCCTCATAAACTTCCCTCACGGCTGCGCCGCCCGGCTCCTCCTCAGGCTCCATTCCTCCTCCTGGAACGATCCACTGGTCTGGGTACCGACTGCTACTCACCAGCAGCACCTGCAAGACCCCCACACCCATGCGCTCAGCCTGAGAAGCACTGTGAAGAAACACTCTCGCGTCTGCAGGGCTATACAGCTCATGCCAGGCCCAGCCTCCAGTTCTGTCAGAATTACTAAGGGTACGTGTTAAATCGCCAAGAAGCACCGGGGCAACTTTGTGAACACAAAAGCAAAGGGTAAAAGCAGCTGGGTGTGGCACATCCCTGGAACTCCGCACTTGTGAGGCTGAGGCAGAATGATCTGCAAGAGTCTGAGGCCAGCCTGGGCTACATAATGTGTTTGAGGTCAGCCTGGAATATGCAGCAAGATGCTATCTCCAAACAACAGGCTGAAGTCAGAATTTAGTGTCAACACAGCCACCCCACTGAATCATCTGTATCTAATGAAATAATTGAAAGTATCAGAGTCAGTTAGTATAACTTTCTGATTTTTGCATAGTAACAAAGGCTAAAACCAAAGGCATTTTTTTTAAAGCTCTAGAGTTGAATGCACTGAGGTTTGTGGTAAGGTCAATTATGAACTTACTTAATGCAGTTATCCCTAGGTGTGGTAGCACATGCCTGGAATCCCAGCACTAGGGATGCTGAGGAGGATCGCTGCCTGCACTACGAGGTGAGTTCAAGGACAGCCTGAACTGCACAGTGAAACCCTATCTCCAGAAAACAAACAAAAAGAACCTAGTTATCTTTCAAGTGAGGGCCTGTGACTGTAGGCAGGACACCCTGTTCTCTCACCTGTATGATGTGAGAGTGCTTGGAAGACAGCAGATGCTGTGGGAAAGGAATAGGAAAATGCGTGTGAAGCAGGTACGTGGCACAGACTGCTTCTTAGGTCTGTGTTTATGATGAGGTGGGAAGAGATGCCTTGTAAATAAACGAGCAAACACTGCTTCATTGGTAACAAACAGCTATAATTTACAGTGTGGAATGGGGCTGGCAAAATACAACCCACCACTTGCTTTAGGGAGCTATGACGTTAGGTTTCATGGTTTTAAATTATGTCACATTCAAGTTTCAGCGACCACAGATAGAACTGTTAGAACGCAGCTGCATCAGAACCGAGCGGCTGCGACACAGACGGCGTGGCCTGTGTACCCGACTGACCGTGCTGTACAGCAGCAGCTCACAGGCCTCTCAACGACAGAATCAAGCCTGCAGTATGAGCCTTCACAGACAACGAAACACTCCACTGGCTTATCACAGACAAGCACCCTAGACGCTAACTATTAATAGTACCCGAAACAGCATTACATTTCTATCTTATACACAAAAGGCTGTGTATAATAAACTAAATGATTATGAAGGTAAGTGTCTTAACCAATGTGAACAAAAATGGTGGTGCAGGGTTATCATATATTGCCTTCAAGTAAACTGAAATGGTTCTCCCGGAAAAAAACACACCAACATTAGGACTATTTCACCTGCAGTGTAGGTGCACTTTTTCTGACATGCACACCTGCGTTCTATCTCCCCAACTCCGTCCCTACTTCTAGAGGAGCTGGTGACCCCCTGGGTTGACCGCCAGGCAAGCGAACAGCAGCTCTGTCTTCCCTGACTGGCAAGTTGACTGGCAGCAGTTCAACAGCCCCTTAAACCTACAGAAGGCTGAGCTGAGGACAAGAGAACGCCTATTCATGTGCACAATTCCTCATTCAATAAAAAGCAGCACCTTTCCGATGAATACATCTTTTGCCTCAGAGTGGCGATCAAGTACTATTTCAGGGGCCAGCAAAGCTTCTCTAATTGTGGGCCTGACAGGACTCCTGCTTCAAAAGTAAACAACTGCATCACTGCAAGCGTGTAAGTGGCACACAACAGAGGCAAATCCAGAGACAGCACTGTATACATAATAGTTGACAAAGTCTTCCTTGAAATACTAAGGCTGTCTTTGGTGGTATTACTAAGTCCAAATAAGTGAAATTAATGAATTTTAGTAAAATGAAATGTAAATTTAAGCCTTAAGATTTAAGTATTAACGTTCCCACCAGCTTGAACCACCAGTAGCACATGCATGTCCGTCCCATCACACAGACTGTACCACCCTATGGGACCGTACCACGCTGCCCAATGGGACAGCCGTGCATGTACCACCGGTGGTTCAGAGCCACTAGGCAGCAAGACATGCAAGTTATGGCCCCATCGTGAAGGTGTCAAGTATCTAAATTAGAAACTAAAGTGCCAGAGTTGAGCAAATCTACCAAGCATCAGAGGACATAGGTTTGGACTTGAAGGCATCTGTGACTGTACAGATTTTAACTAACGGATTTCATTCCTTGGTGCTTTTCAATGCGTTAATGCCCTTGCTGGGCAGGTCTGGTCTGGGGCCTGCGGGGGGATGTGCCTGTGAGAAATAACTCCTTGCAGGCCTGACGTGGTGAGCCACGAAACACCTCAACACTGGCTGAGGCGCTCCCTGCTGGCTGTTTCAAGTGCTCTCTTCTCAACTACTGAGGTGAATGCACTTCTCAACACCTACGTTTGTTCCCAGATGCCACCAGTTGTACTTGGCTTATAATTACTTACAATTAATGATGACCCCAAGGCAAAAAGAGATGTATCAAAGAGTCTACAAAATTTATTCAAGGTGGGCTAAGAAACTGAGTATGGATGAGACTTCTGTAGAAGTTTGGAAAGGGGAAACAAAAGAGGCTGCCATGGTTCCTATGTTCAAATTCTACTTTAAACAAGGTGAAACTGCAAATCACATTTTTTTTTTTTGTACTAGGAATCGAATTCACAACCTCGCACTTGCCAGACAGGCGCTGTGCCGCTGAGCTGTATCTCCAGCCAGCAAATCACATTTCATTTTATCAAAAAACAGGATTGGGCTACAGGTGTGAAGCATGGTAGAGAACTTGCATACCATGACCATTAGGGGCCTGAGCTTGGATCCCTATATACCAACCCTTGACACCAAAAAAAGGGGTCCTGAGGATCTATGGTAACCCACAGCCCTCTCTCAGGACTGGTCACTACATAACGGTTTAGGGATTACATGCTTCTAGCTGGATAAAGTTCTTACTTCCCCTCCCTCCATCTCTAGATCCCCTTCCTGTTTGCAAAAGATCCATCTCCCTGTTGCCTATTATCTAGCTTTTATTTTGCTCTCTGTACTTTGAGGTTGTTTTGAGATAGGGTCTCGTTATGCAGTTCAGGTTGGCTTTGAAATCACAGCAATCTTCCTGCCTCAGCCTCTCCAAGTACTGGGGTTACAGGTGTGCATCACCGCGCTTGGGTTTCTCATGTATGAGAAACCATGCAATATTAAAGCTTGTGTAAGAAAGTCCTTCAAAAAAGGGGCTGAGGATATGGCTCAGTGGCCTTGCATGCACAAGGCCCTGGGTTTGATCCCCAGCATCATAAAAAAAAGAGCTGGGCGTAGTGGCGCACGCCTGTAAGCCCAGCACGCAGGAGGCTAAGGCAGGAGGATTGCTGCAGGTTCCATGCCAGCCTGGGCTACAAAGTGAGTTCAAGACCAGCCTGAGTACATAGTGAGACCCTGTCTCAAAAAGGCAAAAAAGAAAAAAAGAAAAAAAAATTATGGTCTCAAGGTGCACAGCTGGGTAATTCTTACTACCCAATTCTATGTTCTCTAAGCAACTTCACTATGGGGCAGGACAGTCCAGGTGGCTGGCCACTGGAAAAATATATCACTTAGTAAAGGAATTTCAAAGCCATCAATATTCAAAATGTTAGAGTTCCAAAAAAGAAAATTCAAAGTGGTATGTATACAGGACAATGACCATTACGTTCCCAATTCTCCATGATAGTCTTCAAGAGCTACATGTACATAAGGTTAATATTGGGAAACATTAGTATAATCCATATCTGCTTTTCTGAACATTTCAACTTCAAAATTTTTTTAGGGGGGTAATGCAGGGAATTAAACCCAAGGCCTTCACACTGCGCTCCATCCCCAGGCCTTTTGCGCTTTGTATTTTGGGACAGGTACTCCTCTCCATCTCCAACCAGCCCAGCTGGGCTCCGGCCTCGCCCTCCCAGAGTGCTCCATGACCACAACCACGCCTGGCTTTAAGCTTTGGACTTTAAAACTTCTACCTAAGGGACATCAGAACGTGATTAACTTTCCTTCCAAAAGCCAGAGACACGTAGCCCTTGAATGTCCCAGTATCACCCTTTCATAAATTATTCAGAAAGCCTCATGACACAGAGCTATACAAATTCTGGGGGAAAGATTTAGCCTAAGATGGGCATGATGGAGCACACCTATGCCCCAGCACTGGGGAGGCTGAGGCGGGAAGATGTGCTTCCAGTTCAGCTTGGGCTACATAGGGAGACCCTGGCTCAAAAAACCAAAAACCATCAAAAAAAGATTTAGCCTAAACCAAGAATTTAACATGATGCGAGTCCCTTGACACTCTAAGACAGATTAAATTTGATTAAAAGATTAACTTCAAATTCACCTATCAATTTGAGTAATTGCTACCTGCAGTCTAGGGAAGATCTATGTGACTATGACTAGCTTAGGAAAGATCTCCTAATGTCCAACTTTTGGTGACGGTAGATTTGAAATCCAGCATTTTTATTAAGCCTTCTCTAGTAGACCCCTGTCTGACCTGCCTACAATTCCAGCCTGCCCTGCCACTTTTGGACTTCTCATTTTCTGAGACTGTAGAGTTGCACTGTCTATCACGCTGCCATTAGCATCATACGGCTACTTAAATTTCAGAATGGATAAAATTAAAAATTGAGTTTCTCAGCCCACTAGTCACATTTCAGGTGTCCTATATTGATTGCATACCACAGATCTACCGCTCCAGAAAGGCACATACCTTTGTGAGATTCACCCTTGTGACTTACTGTCCAAGAGCCCTGACATTCCAAAAAGATTAAATTTGATCAATTAACTTCAAATGTATTTTTGCAAATAATGATCAATTTAACTGCATATTCAGTATGTACGGTTGGGGCCAGGAATACAGCTCAGTGGCACAAGCGCCTGCCTGGCGAGTACAAGGTCCTGAGTTTGATTCCCAGTAACCCCAGCCAAAATGTATGGTTTAAAAAAATGAG